GGTGTGTTTTGGGGTCCCAGGTGTGTTTTTGGGGTTCCCGGGTGTATTTTGGGTGTCCCAGATGTGTTTTTGGGGTCCCAGGTGTGTTTTGGGGTCCCAGGTGTGTTTTGGGGTCCCAGGTGTGTTTTTGGGGTTCCCAGGTGTGTTTTGGGTGTCCCAGATGTGTTTTTGGGGGTCCCGGGTGTGTTTTTGGGGGTCCCGGGTGTGTTTTGGGGGTCCCAGGTGTATTTTGGGGGTTCCCGGGTGTTTTTGGGGGGGGTCCCAGGTGCCCCCCCCCATCCCCCGTCGAAGCAGCGCCGCGGTGCGGGGGCGGGGATTGCGCATGCGCAGCGGGTGCGGAGTGGGCGTGGCCAGCCGCGCGGAAAGGGGCGGGGCTAAGGGCGGGGGGCGTGGCCAGGATGAGGGCGCCCCCTCCCGGCTGACCTGCGGCGCCGTCGGGGGTCTCAGGCGGTGACGAGCGCTGGGGACAAAAGGGGAGAGGGGAGGGGTCACCCCGGGGCAGGGACCCCCTGTGGGGCTGGGGACCCCCTGTGGGTCTGGGGACGCCCTGATGGGGACGGGGACCCTCTATGGGGACAGGGACCCCCCTGATGGGGACAGGGACCCTCTGTGGGGACAGGGACCCCCCTGATGGGGCTGGGGACCCCTTAATGGGGACAGGGACCCCCTGTGGGGCTGGGGACTCTCTATGGGGACAGGGACCCCCCTGATGGGGACAGGGACCCTCAATTGGACAGGGACCCTGACACGGGGACAGGGACCCCCCCGATGTGGACAGAGACCCCCCCTGATGGGGACAGAGACCCTCTATGGGGACAGAGACCATGACACGGGGACAGAGACCCCCCCTGATGGGGACAGGGACCCCGACACGGGGACAGGGACCCCCGGGCCCCCCCCAGCCAGCCCCACCCCTTGCACGCGCGTGTGCAAGGGGCTCCCAGAGCCCCCCAGCGCCGGGGGGTCTGTGCAAGCTCTGCCCCCCCCCCCCCCCCCCAGTTCTCTCCCAGTTTGCCCAGTTTGGGGACGGGGTGGGGCTGGGGGACATGCAGGAAGGGGGAGGGAGGATTTGGGGGTGAGGTGGGGGGAGTTTGGGTACCCCCAGGGGGGATGGAGGGGGTTTTGGGGACCCCCCCCCCCAAAGGGGGAACGGGGG